CGATTTAGATTATGAGCTAGATCAGTGGTCGGCAAACTCATTAATCAACAGAGCCAAATATCAACAGTACAAGATTGAAATTATCTTGAGAGCCACATTTTTTAAACTTAAACTTCTAATGCCACTTCTTCAAAATAGACTCGCCCAGGCTGTGCTATCTTGTGGAAGAGCCACTCTCAAGAGGCCAAAGAGCTGCATGTGGCTTGCAAGCCTTGGTTTGCCAACCACTGAGCTAAGTTGTGTCCAAGAACAAATACTAGGAGCCTTCCTTTGAGGCCCTGTAGGTCTGTCTCTCTGAGGTCATTAGAAACCTGAACAGAAAGAATGTCAGCACTATCTAGAAGTTGACAGTTTCAGAATTACAACTTCCCAGAGTATTAACTTTAGGTGGTCAAACACACAGAACCAGAAACTCAGTTCATGGTCAAGGATTCTCTGTTCTATCATAAGTCTCAGGTCCGCAAACAGCTGATCTTATTAGAGCAGTTGCAAGGGTCCAGCTAGCTCCACACAGGATAGAACAGACACCAGCACCCACTATCCATGGTGCCGGACTGTCCGAGGCCAGACCACCCAGGTCCTAAAGCCTCTGCCATTTACCAGCTGTGGAACCTATTAAAGCTCTCTGGGCCTCAATTTTATCATCTACAAAATCATCATAATACCTATGGTCCTTGCCTCATTGGATGGCTGTGAGAATCAACCAAAAAATTAGGCATGTAAAGTGCTTAAGACAAAGCCTGGCCATGACAGCTATCTAGTAGATACGGTAGTAGCCATGACTGATTTTTCCCTCTGAGTGGGTTTTGAGCTTTGAAAATCCACCATTGTATATCAAATGTATATATCAGGGTAAAAATCACTGTCTAGCCTACAGATTGCAAAATGGTGAGATGGGGATCATAACAGAAACCAAAGGAGGAAAAACATAACAGGAAGACTGTGGACTTTGAGGTCAAGGAGGCTGCACTGCCAAGTGGTCCCGGGACATCACTTCTGCATGCAGCAGCTGGAAGTGTCTTGGGTTACTGTCTGCCAGAGAGCATGTGAGTGTTTTGTGGTTGTCTGCATGACAGCTAAATTATGTCAGGCTTTGGTCCCATTGGCCAAGAGGATAAGAACACATCCCTCTCAGTATCTCTGGGGGTGGGGGGTGGGGGGAGGAGTGGGGGGCACACCATGTTTAAACCACAAGCAATCCCAGGACCCAACTGTGGCAGCTAAACAAGCCAGGAACAGTCAGACTTCAAACCTCAGGTACAAACACTTTCCACAAGTGCATTGGTGTGCAGGGAGTAGCTGGGGTGTAGAGAGGGAGGAAAGTAAATTAATTAGCTTATACATCATTTAAAACATTCATTTTTTATAGTAACCAAAGCACACAGATATGTTAGGAAATAGAATGAAAAAAAATCACATGAAGTTTTATTTATTTATTTATTTTTTTAAATATATTTTATTGATTTTTTACAGAGAGGAAGGGAGAGAGATAGAGAGCTAGAAACGTCGATGAGAGAGAAACATCGACCAGCTGCCTCTTGCATACCCCCTACCAGGAATGTGCCCGCAGCCAATATACATGCCCCTGACCGGAATCGAACCTGGGACCCTTCAGTCCGCAGACCGACGCTCTACCACTGAGCCAAACCGGTTTCGGCGAAGTTTTAAAAAATGCATTTCAAAGGGTCTCCTCCAACCTCAACCCCACATTTAGGGGAGGTTGGCTGCTGCCTTTTCAGTTAGGGGACTTTCAAGGGAAAGTTTGAGAACCACCAAAGTAGAAAAAATACACAAGACGACATTGCAAGATCTCAGCGCTGACACCCGCTGTTTTATTCTTTTGTGCTTCCTCATCAGATAAATGGGAATGTTCCTCATAGACTCAGCCACAGACTTGATGAGGGGCTCACTAGAAATAATATATGGCAAGGCACAGTGCAAATATTTCCTGGAGTTATCACCATCATTATTATAGGGCTATTATTTATTAAGGTCTACAGAAATTGGCTGCCTTGGCATGTTCATGAGCTGAAGCTAACCTGCTGGAGTTGTGAAAGGGGATGCAAAGTTGGTGGCAAGGCAGAAAAAAGCAACAGCCCAGTATGTAAAAGGCTGAGTAGTACACACTCATGGCACAAGCATCCTTAGGAGGAGGAGCTGAAGGAAAAGAAAATTAGCAACCTGTGATTGGTAGGAAAAGAGCCAAGAAACGAGAAAACACAACCCAGTCACTCCTGTCACTTTGCTACCCATGGTTGATTGAAGATGGAAAATCAGAGCAAGCCATCGAATAGGAGAGGGAGAAGGCAAGCACATCTAGCCGCCCTGTGCCTCGCTGCCTGTGGCTTACTGTTCAAATGACTGTCTGCTCTGAAGGAACCGCTGTTGGAATCTATTGAGGCTCCCTCTAGAGTGTTTCAAGCCTGTCTCCTGTGTTAGGCACCTATCATTCAGCCTGCCTTTTGCAAAACACAATCAAACCTGAAAATAAAATGCAGAACAAATGCCATTCAAATGACATCATTGTTCTGAGTGACAACTGGAGGCACACTGATCCCATGACCCCATTAAATGGGGTTGCAACCTGCCATTGTCCTTTCAGCAAAATCAGTGGCACCCAGCACAGAGCGTTGCTCACATTAGGAGGCATCAAACAAATGTGTGTTGAATGAAGTATCCTATCTGCCTGTTTAATAAGTTAGAAAATAGTCAGCTTTTTCAGCAAAACTACCACCTCTCCCCCCCCCCCTCCATTTAAGCCCCTCTTGAAAATCCATTCCACGGAGGCTTTTTCGTGCATAGTAGCAGCAAGAAATTTACTTAAATGAGGGAAGAAGAAAAGAGAAAGCAAAACTCCACGCTCCCACCTGTGCGACTATGACATGCTATTGTTTGAACCAGAGTATGTTATTTAACTTGGATGACAAGCTCAGGGGGTAGAGACCACATCTTTCAGAACACATAGCTCTGAGCACACTGGGAGTTCTCAATAAATAGCAGCAGCAAGAAGTGCTATGGAGGGACCTCTTTTAATTATTTCTTTCTCCAATTCCAGATTTCTGGCAGCATGTGTTTATCCCTCGCTTGATTTCAAATGGGCAGCTCTCTCCCAGAAGCTCCCGTGAAGATGATAAACAGCTCTCCGACTGCCCCTTCCCCTCCTCATCCCAGCACCAGTAGGAACACCTGACCGAGCCAAAACACAGATTTCTGAGTGCATTCAGGATGCCTGCTGCGTTTGGAAGGGAACTAAGTCCTCCAGGACCCAATGGGTAGAGAGAGGCAGTCAAGAGAAATGTTTTGGCTCCACACAGCTGTCAGATGGCAAAGCTTGGACTTCCACTGTTAGTACCTGCTGTGGGCCTTCGAGCTGTCTTATCATTAGCCCAAGAGACCAACTATGACTTAAGCTTGACACAAGTAATATTTGGGGGTATTTTCAAGTCTTTCAACAGAGGAGTGGAAGGTGATAATTTTTGCCAAATTCGAACTACAGAATATAAAGATCTAATAAAGACATATAGTAAATATTAAATTATATGTGTATAGCAAGATTAAGCCCTTTAGGGTGCATAATATGTCACTTATGCTTTTAAAAAAATTATACAAGTGACTAAATGAAGGCATTATCAGCATGCAACTGATAGGCAAGGTGGAACAAGCAAATGACCATTCTAAAGGAGCCTTGTAAAGGATTTCAGTTATTTTTTTCTCCCTGGAAAATAGGGCTGATCTTTAGTAAGATGGGTTTTGCAGAGAAAGGAGTGAGTGTGGGTGGGAGTGTCTTTCTATACACATATTAATACACCTTAGAGCCAATGCTCCCCTCTATGCCCACACAATTGTAGCAACACAACACATTTTCCAAGTGGAGACTGCTCCCTTGCCTCCCTGACGCCTTTTATGCCAAAACAATAGCAACACCTGTAGCCATTAATTCCTGCTCTTTGATTTCTGTCCAGTTATAAAGGAGGCTCTCAGCAGGCTCGCCTCTCAGGAGCCATATGTGGAGTAGATGTGCCAGCAGCCTTGGAAGGAAAACGGCCTCTGAGAAGTGCACAATGGCTCCATAATCCCCATCAACCGGACCCTCTTGAACCGCTGCTTTATTTTCCAGTCAAAGAAACGCCAATCTCAAGAGTCAGCTGTGGCTGCCCTGGGAACCTCAGGGAAGCCGGCGCTGTTTGCCTGGTCGGGTACAACACAAGGGTGGTGCCTCTGAGCCCCCGCGATTTAGTCAGGCAGTCTGGAGCCCAGACACTGCCTGTCGCACCCCAACACTTTCTCTTGCCTTCCCCACCAGGGTGAGGCTTTTCCTACAAAGCCACCTCTGCCTGCCCACCCACTCCCCCACCCCGCGGGAGACCACAGCGCACCCCCAGCACAACCACAGCCCCGCCCCCCTGCGCTGGGTCGCGCTGAGGGTTCCTTTTCGCTGAACAGAGATCCTCCTTGCAGGCCGGCTCTGCCCCGCGTCCAGCAAGCTACCAACTCTTCAGACCGCATCCCACGGTTACCGTGGCGGCGGGGGGCGCAAGGCCTGGGGTGTGGTGGCAAGTCCTTTAGGAAGTGGCTTGTCTGCGGAGGGCACTCTGTTTGGTAACCATGTTGAGGAAAGGGGTCAAAGCCAACACGAACCAGCTAAAACCATACACCTGCGTTAGCGATTAGGGAAGGGAGGGGGTGGGGCTGCATGCGTGGCTCGGCCCCAAACAAGCGTCCGCGTCTGGACAGGGAAGGACGGCACTGAGGTTTAGAGTTCTGAGCCTAATTCCTGCCCTCTCCACCTCCCCTGTTCCACTCCCTCTGGGGACCGCCGGGCCTGCTTTAGAGTCCCTGAGGCCTCGCAGACCGTGTGAGGACGGCGTCGGGCGGCCACGGGGCTGTGTGAACCCCATCCCGGAGCCGGTAAACGCCAACCCGGTCCCCCTCCCGCTCTGCCTCGGCGGCGGCGGCTCCCACAGGAGCGCCCCCCGGCGGCGGCCCGGGGCAGCACTTACGCAGCTGGGCTCGGGGCCCTCGAAGTCGCGGGAGCAGTTCTTGGCGCGCGCCTGGATCTCGCTCATCCTGAAGAGGCACAGCGCCGTGGTGGCGGGGGAGCGCCTCTCCGGGCCCTCCCCGGTGGCCGCGCTGAACACGCCCGCCCAGACGCCCAGGGCCTCCACCAGGCTGGAGGACAGGAGCAGGCGGCGGCCGTCGGGGTGCCCGTGGCCGCAGTCGAGGGCCGCCTGGCCCTGGAACTTGACCTCGACGCTCTGCGCGATGCGCGCCATGCTGGGCCAGCCGGCGGCGTGGCCGCTGGTGTAGTTGTAGGGGTAGTAGGGGAAGTAGACGCTGGCGTTCCAGAGGAAGGCGTCCACGAAGTGCAGGCTGCCCGCGCCCCCGCCATGCAGCTTGAGGCGGCCCAGCTCGTCCGTGTCGAAGCTGCGCCGCTCCGTGTTCTTGATGGCGATGGCCGTCTGGCGGTCGGACGCCGCCGGGTTGCAGCGGCTCGACGTCTCGGTCTCGGGCAGCGCGTAGGTGGCGGCCACGGCCAGGTACCAGGGCGACCCCTGGCCGAGGCGGAACACCACGCCGGCCGTCGAGCCCTGCGGGTGGCAGGACACCACCTCGGTGCCGTTGCGCAGGGAGCTGAGGCTCAGGTTGCCCAGGGGCCGCACCTCGCAGGCGCCGCGGCCGAAGGTCCAGCCGGTGAGCAGCAGCCCCCCGAGGCCGGCCGCCCCCTCGCGGTAGGGTAGCAGCAGCTTGCTGAAGCTGCTCCCCGGCCGGGGCCGCGCGGGGGGCGCCAGCGAGACGGGCTCCGTGCAGTTGCCCGCGCGGTCCCGGTACAGGCGCGAGAGCCGGCGCTCCAGGCTGTAGTCCAGCTGGTCCAGGCAGCTGCCGCTCGCCACGAACACGCCGTCCGCCCGGCTCACGGCGATGGCTCCGATGGCTTGCTCCGCCCGCCACACCGGCTCGTCCGCGCCCCGGCCGGGCGCCGCCAGAGCCAGCAGGCAGGCGAGCAGGGGCAGCGGCGCGGCGGGGCGCGGGGGGCGCGGCGGCGCTCTCCTCCGGGAGACCTCCATGGGGCTCGGGGGGTCGCCCCCGGGCAGGGCGCGAGGTGGCGGCGGCGGCTCAGGCGCGCGGCCACGGAGACGCGGGCGGCGGCGGCTCCTGCGCGCGCTCAGGCTCCCGCGGCCGCCCCATCCCCGCCGCTCGCCCGGGAAGGAGCGGGGAGGGTGGCGCGCGGCGGGCTCGCTCCGGCAGCCTGTGCGGCGGCGGCAAGCCCTGCGCGCTCCGGCCCCGCTTCCTCCTCCTCCTCCTCCTCCTCCTCCTCGCCCTTCTTCTCCGGAGAGTTCCTCTGGGCGGCGCGGTCGCTCTCTCAAGGGGAGGCACGGAGGTGGGGGGAGCGCGGCGGGCGGGGAGGGCTGGAGAGGTTGGTGCGCTGGTGCGTTTCACTTTCCCATTGTGAAAGTGGGATGCAACTGGCCCCCTTCCTCATCCTCTTCCTCCTCCGCCCTCCGCCTCCTGCCCGCCCGCCCTCCCTCCACGCCCATCTCCCCTCCCCTCCTGATTCCGTGCGATAGGGAGGAGGGAGGTCTGGTAATTTGGGTTACTGTGTAGGTGGCCTCTTTCATCTATTCAAAACAAAGCTGAGCCGCCGCCGCCGCCACCACCATGCCCCTTGGCTGGCCCGGGGCTCCGGGGCGCGCTAACGGTGCACCCGGCGAGCTCCCGCGCTCGGCAGCCGGAGGGGCTGCTCCGAAGCTAGGGTTTTGTTTACCAGAGCAGCGGGGCAGAGCTCGGGTGGGGGGATACGCCAGACACCCGGAGCTACGACCTCGGGCACCAGAGGGTTGGTTGCCTCTGAGGCCTGGGGGCTGGGCCACGGGGAGGCTGCGAGGGCGGTTGACAGGTGTGGACCGCGGCAGGGAGGCCCTGAGGAGGCCCGCGGGAGACGGGGAGGAGCCCGAGGCTCGGGGGACAGGGGCTCCCCTATCAAGGAGGGTGGTTTCCCCTGGTCAGAAGAGTGAGGTGGGGGAAGGCAGGCGCCCGAGCTCTGATCCTGGACAATCCCGGCGCTGGAGCTCCCATATTTGAAAAGGGTCTCAGATCTCCCTTGGCAACCGAGTCCCAGGCTCTCAAACCCAGCCCTTCAAGTGCTACTCACCTTCTGACCTTACTGATCATATCTAGCATTTGTTAAACACTTACTGCATACCCGGTGCTGTTCTAAATTCACTATGGAAGACTCATTTAATACCCATAACAACCCTATTAATTAGTGAGTATTGTTCTCACTTAGTAGTGAGAAGAATGATCATGCAGAGCTTAGGGAACCTGCGGAGGCTGGGGGGTGGGGGGGGCGGGAAGCGGTGCTGCTGTTAAAAGATTCTAACCTGTATCCAGCTCTAGGGCCACTTACACCTTCTAACCAAGTGCCACCTGTGGCCATTACAATACTACCCAGAGAGCATTCTCCTCAGGTGTGACCAAAGTTCCCCAAGTTAAATGCTGCGCCTCCCCCCCCCCCCTCCCTTTTCCAGCCTTCTAATCCTGAAACAGGAACCTTTATTTCTTAGAGCCATGGTCGGCAAACTGCGGCTCGCGAGCCACATGCGGCTCTTTGGCCCCTTGTGTGTGGCTCTTCCACAAAAATACCACAGCCTGGGTGCATCTATTTTGAAGAAGTGGCATTAGAAGAAGTTTTTTTAAATATATATTTTATTGATTGTTTACAGAGAGGAAGAGAGAGGGATAGAGAGTTAGAAACATTGATGAGAGAGAATCTTCGACCAGCTGTTTCTTGCACACCCTCTACCCCGGATGTGCCACCAACCAAGGTACATCGAACCCGGGCACCCTTCAGTCCACAGGCCGACGCTCTATCCACTGAGCCAAATCAGTTTCGGCGAAGAAGTTTAAGTTTAAAAAATTTAGCTTTCAAAAGACATTTCAATCGTTGTATGTACTGTTGATATTTGGCTCAAATGAATGAGTTTGCCGACCACTGCCTTAGAGGCCTGTCCTCTCTCTCATCCCTTCCCAGTTCTTTACTTTGGTCCCTCTGAGGTCTCACCAATTTCCTTTAGTGGGCAATTAGCAGCTGCCCCCCCCCCCCCCAGCCCCCAAACCATCAGGAATTTCTGAAGCACAATAAACAGGGTGGGGCAAAAGTTGGCTTACAATAATTAATTAATAATAATACAAGGATAAACTGTTTCCTGCACTCACAACTGCAAACCTACTTTTGCCCCACCCTGTATTTCTGAATCACTGCACACCTCAGTGACTACCTCCACTGGGTGAAGCTTCAGGGTTTCTCAGCAGGGGGCATCCTAGAGGATTCACAAGTGCCTCCCAGCTGCCAGAGCTGCAGCTGATAGCACCACACCAGCACCCTTCCAGTTTGGCAGGTGATCCCAGGGGCCACTGGGGGGAGTATGGGCTCCTGGGGACCCTAGGCATCTGTGGGAAATGGTCTCTGTCCCTTCCCAGGCTGTTTCCAGGCTCCAGGGAGGGGACAGGGTGCACCCTCTGTCTTCTCCCAGTTCTCCACTCACTCTAAACAGGATCTATGTGGAGCTGTTTTGTTTTTTGTTTGTTTGTTTGATGGGGGGGGGTTGGATAAGTGGACCTCCTACAGATGCTGAGGCCTCCTGAAGGAGCAGCTGATCCAGGTTTAAACTTCTACAACAATGCTTCAAGTTCTCCCCGGTGCTGAGGGATAAGGCAGGAGGAGTTCGGGTGGCTTAAGGAAAGAAGCAGAAAAGAAACGTGAGTTTCTGCCCCAAATGTGCCATTAATGGATCAAATCATTCCATCAGTGACTCTCACATTCTGAATTCAGAGGGGTCATCTTTCCATTCATAATTTCCTTCTTTGAAATTGGATAGCATTATCTTTGCCTGTCGGGGGGAGGGGGGGGGGAGGCAAATGCTTTCCCATGAGGTACAAGGTTGCTGTTTCTGCTGTGGTGATGGTTGGGGTGCCCTGAGAAGGGTGGAGGAGGAAGGGGAAAGGCCTGAGCTACGGGCTTCATGTACATCTGATCATAAACAAGGCAGATCAGATGCTCTCTCTCTGCTCCAAAGTAATCAGGCCGTGCGCCCATTCCCTGCCCACCTGAAACGCTTTAAGAATATTTGCACTGCTGGAAATGGGGAAAGTGGTATCTAAGAAACATCTGCAGAAGCTCACAGAACCCATCACGGCATAGCAGGGGATTTGTGAGCTAGCATTTTGAGTGATGAAGAGCACACTGATCGTCACTGCCATCATAGCCGGCTGTGGCGGCGTTGTTATGTGCCGAGAAGGAACACTTCAGTCCCACTGCAGAGATGGTTTTACTTCACTGGTAACCAAGTAATTTCTCTAAGTCCTACCGAGTTGCTACAATCAGTAGCAGACCATCTTGAGAGCTATTTGGATTAAACATACTCTATAGTGTGGCATTTTGATCACTACTCAATTCATTGCTGCCTCATTTTGAAACAGAAACATCTTAAAAATACGACCATCAAGAAGTACAAATGGCTTTGATGGCTAGTTTCTCCCCATTTTACTGGGGCCATGAGCCCCACTCTTGAGAGCGGGCTTCTTTTCCCTCCCATTTAATTGTATGCAGGCTCCTATCAGGAAAGAAATCTGAATCTGTGCCTACTTTTGGGCATGAAATATGTAGGAGACTCTAAGGCATATAAATGTATTCTTTGCCGATTCTGCCCTAGTTTGTGCAGGCACAGTTGCCCCTTCCCAATCTTCCTGTGAACTAAAGCTCCACCTTCAGGACACAAGTTCACATTTGAAAAGTATGGGAAATACAAACAATAAATATTTAGGCATGTGGATGCTGTGTGTTTTTTATTTCTTTTTCTTGGATACTGCTATCTGGCCAAGGGTGCAAATCCCATTGGTGACAAAGCTTTCCTCTCCAACTGATGGAGCCCATCCGTTTGGATGTCATTCTTGCACACTCAGAATGCCTTGTAATGCTATTGGCTGACCTCCTCCACCCCCCCTCCAGCTCTGCTCCACCGCCCCCAAGAAGATGGTGTAGACTTATTCTCCAGACAGAGGCTCACTACCACAGAAACAGGCAGTTCAGACTGATTCTGAGCAGTTTTATTTGTAGTGTTCACTAGATGGGAAAGTCTTCATAATGAGAAAATATCAACTTCCTCAGGCACTGGAGGCAATCTGGGTTAACCAGACCATCCACAATCAGACTCATTCTGCTGGACAGGAATTTAGAGATTCAGTGGTTTCCTGCTGAGGCTCGGGACATTAAAAATGTTCAGCAGGCAATTGGTCACAGTCACAAGATGGCTATCATGGTGCTTCAGTTTTCTTTCTTAAAAAAAAAAAATGGTCTGTAGGGATGACTGGGTCAGCAGGGATTGAAAGCAACTGAGAAAATTAGTTCTGGTGGTCAATGAATTCTCTTTACGCCTTGTCTACAGTAGTTACAACCCCCGCCAGGCAGCATTTGAGAAATGCTAGTGCATTAAATAGTATGTGTTATTCTTCTAAGACAGTGGTTCTCAACCTTCTTAATGCCTCGACCCTTTAATACAGTTCCTCATGTTGTGACCCCCCACCATAAAATTATTTTCGTTGCTACTTCATAACTGTAATTTTGCTATTGTTAATGAATCATAATGTGACTATCTGGGTTTTCCGATGGTCTTAGGCTCTACAGCTACCCACAGATTGAGAACCGCTGCTATAGAGCCTAAGACCATCGGAAAACTCATATATTTACATTACAAGTCATTAACAGTAGCAAAATTACAGTTATGAAGTAGCAACGAAAATAATTTTATAGTTGGGGGTCACCACAACATGAGGAACTGTATTAAAGGGTTGAGGCATCAAGAAGGTTGAGAACCACTGTTCTAAGACTTAAGACGGGCCACTTCTTTCTCCACAGCTCAGCTCCAACCTACGTGGTCATCCACGTGGAGGCCCTTATCGAAGCTCCCGGCCCCTTTTAATGACTGACAGGAAAACGAAACGAGCCAGCCTCCTTTCTGGTCTGCTAATGAGTAGATGGTGAACACAGATAAGATGAAGAGCCATTTAATAAGTTTGAATTGATGCTGAAAGACAAGTTCAAGCAACAGAAGTCAGTCAAGTACAGTGCAGTCAAGATGTAACTGAAGGAATACAGTCCCACATCCTCCCTACCCAGTCCCATAATTGTTGAACATTCTTACACCTGGCAACAGGGCCCCTGCCTGTGGCTAAAGTGATGAGGCTCAGTGGGGGATCCTTCTGTAGGTGGAAGTGGGGTCACCTGTGATATGACACTTACTCTCTTTTCCCATCTCATGGCTCAACAGCTCATGGTCATTCCCAGTAGAGTTGCAATTACAGATGGGAGGATGGATTGGATGTACAAAGAAACAATTTTTTTTTTTATTCAAGGACACAAAATTACTTCCTTTATACTAAATAAGGGCCTTTACTCAGCTTTAGGACAAATGAGCTATTGCCTATGGAAAGGATGTAAATGTTGATTTTTTTTATTTTGATTTTTTTTTTTAGTT